GCCTGGAACTCTCAGGCAAGAGCTGAAGCTGCAGTCCATAGGCAAGTTCTTTTTCAGGGAAACCTCAATTCTACTCTTAAAACCTTTAAAATGATTGAATCAGGTTCACCCAGATTATCTAGGATAATCTCCTTTACTTAATGTCAACTCATTATGGACCTTAATCACATCTACAGAGTATGTCAGAGCAATACCATGAAAAATAGTGTTTGATTGAGTAATTGGGTACTGTAGTCTAGAAAGTTGACACGGAAAGCTAAACATTACAGGTTATTTCCTATTTTTACAGGATTAGTATTTGCCTGATTCATGAATGATGAAGCTATGAGTGCTTAACTCAAGTCTCAATGAGCTTAATTCACATCACTGGGAGGGAGGAGGTACTGTAATATCTTGAAAAGTTTAGTTTTACATATTCAATTTCAGTACTACTTATTTTGATATATATATATTTCAGTACTACTTATAAATTTTGAGATCTTAGGGCTGGTTAATGCTTAAAGTTTCAACAGATTTTATACATCATACTTTGACCAAGATCTAGTTGCAATTATATAAGAAGACTTAATTGTGCTTATAACCATATATTGAAAAATTCAAATCAACTTATGGACATAGTCCAAATTTAGCTCATTCATTCTGTATTAGTCATGCATATAGATTAAATATATAACTAATAAATAACAGAGGTAGGTCGGTAAGTATAAGAACCTTTTAGCCTAAATGGCACAGAATAGATATTCAGAATTCATCTTTCACTTAAAAACTTTATGATTTAGGAGGTTAATGGGCAGTGACTAAGGCATAGTACTTCTAGCTTGGGAACTTCATTTCAAGTGGTAAGAAACCTCACGCCCGATACCTTATGCTTCAAATTTTCTTTCTGTTTTTTACTTAAAAGTACCTTTTTATTTTACAAATCTAATATATCTCTAAATCCGTCTACTCCTTTTCTTTATAGTATGGGTTAGTTTCCTATTGCTTCATAACAAATTAGTACAAATTTTGTGGCTTGAAACAAAAGTTTACTATCTCACAATTTCTGTGGGATTATGAGGTAACTCGGTTCGTTACTGAGGGTCTCACTAGGCTGAAATCAAGGTGTCAGCCAGGGTCGCTCTCTCATCTGAGGCTCAAGAGTTTTCATCCAACTGGTTGTCGTCAGAATTCAGCTCCCTGCACTTGTAGAAATGGAAGTTCCATTTTCTTGCTGAATATTGGCAAGGGGCTGCTCTCAGCACCTAGGGGCCACCTGTAGGTTCTTGCCACGTGGTGCCCTCCATAGACAGTTCACAACACATGTATTTGTTTGTCAGAGGCTGGGAGGAGTGTACCTCTTTTGCTTTGAATGTGTCTGCTGCTTTGAGTCTCTTTAAAAGATTAACCTGATTAGGTCAGTCCTGCCCATGGTAATGTCTCTTTTGGTTAAAACAAAGTCAACTGATTAGGGACTTTAATTATATCTGCAAAACAGAATCACATATGCCAACATTTGAATTATCTAATCACCTGTTAAGATTCTCTTTTTATTTTCCATTATCTTCAACTCTGAGTGAATATATAGGCTTCCACAAGACACAAAAACCAAAAAATGAACAAAACAAAACAACACAAGGCAGAGCCAGTTTCACTGCGAGAGAAGGTTTACATCCGTCCATTAAAAAAAATAAGTATATTTTACACATACACACATATACAAGTGTGTATATTTACTCACATTTAATCAATAAATAAAACTATTACCAAGGGCTGTTCTCCAATGGCAATTGAATAGATGAAAGGATATGATTTTCAAGTAGGTTTTAAATTTGCAAAGCATCTATTAATAAAGTTTATAAAGGAAAATCATGAATAGTATAACTTATTATTACCCTCGAAAATTTAAATTTTGAAAATAAATCATAAGTACTCCTTTGTAGATTTGAAGTCCTTTGAGGAAGTGTTATGCTTCATTTATACATTATACCATTTTACTGTTGCTGTTCAATAATTACATATTGTTGACATTTTTAATGTAGTTATGCTTTCTTTTATGGTTTTAAGAATCAGCTTATTGTTACATGGAATAAATGTATTTCAGTTTCATGTTACTTGGAAAAGTAATGGACGAATTGAATTGTACTTCATGGATACTCATCCCCTCTGAGGCGTTCAGTTGGTATTGAACACTGCAATACTAACTGCTTTGATACACTCGATATTGCCCTGAGTCCAAAAAACTTATTCCTCAGAACACTTACACAAAGGAGTAATGTTTCCTAGTAGAAACAAGCAATATACGTTATGAAATATTTTGAAAGGAAATTAGAATCTGTCACTACTTAATCTATGAACTCACATTTTTATGAGAAAAGGATTTAAAATTGTTACAGAATAGTGAGTGGTACATTAACCACAAATGTAATAATTATTAGTGACTTTTTGGTTGTATAAAATTAAGATCATACTTGAGCAACTTACTGCAAAAAATAGGTGGAAAATTAAAGTATATGTTTTTAAAATGTAATTATCCAGCAATAATGGAAAGCGAATTGTTTGCTTATAATAATTACTATTTAAAAATGCTTGGCTGAATTAAAAATAATTTAGTAGCTGCAGCTATGATTAGATAAGTAGAAAGATGTCAAGGTAATAATACAATATGTAAAGTTATAATATGAAGTACAAAGATATAAAGGTAGCAAAATAAACATTACCAGACATAAGTAAGAATTAATGAAATGAATATTGGCAACAATATAATTAGATGTCCTAAAAATGTAAAGGTGAGATTTTTATAAAGCATATTAATGAGTTATCATTACTCACTAGCCTAGGTTAAAGCCTAGAGTTGAATATCACATCATAAAAACTGCTTTGCAGAATAATACGACTTTGAAACACTGTATGAGCCTGAAAAGGAAACCTTTGGGAAATGATTAATGGTAGCAATTGTATAACACATATTAGGATAAAAGTTCAACCATATAAATATTTATGTCAATTATCTAGGAATTAGATGCAAGGTTAAAACTCTATGTGCCATATGACAACTAAATACTTCAAAAGAAATATTGTTTGGAAATACAGTGGGAGACCATTCTACAAATTGGTATGTTATCATAAGTGCATTATTATATAAGGGTTTTGATTTGATAGTGTAAGAGTAGGTTACACAGTTCATTAGAATAAGGAATGATGCTCTTTTCTATGGGGAATTCATAAATAACTTGAACAAAGACAACTCTATAAAGCAGAAGCTTCTAGTGGTATTGCTTCTAGAACTAAGGTTTAATTTAGGAACATAAATATACAATTTTTACAATTATTTTATCAAAAAATTTAGAACAATCTTCATATATTATATTATGAGTTAAACTATGTAATGCTATTTAGTATGGAAAGGCAAAGGAGCAATATTGTTATATTTTAATTGTGTAGATTCAACCAAAAGCACACCTCAATTTTTAAAACCATGTTTTTATTTTAAAGTTGTGCAAAGTAACCCAACATAAGAGAATCATCAATAAATTTATTTCCACTTTCATTAAAGTAAAAACTTGTATTCACATGATTATAAATACCACAAAGATATGTTTGGAATATGTCTAATTGAACCGCTTGATTTTATTTATAATCTTTGTTTTTTATTAATAAAAAGTCACCATGGAAAAAATGTAGGAGAAAATATTTGAGGGAAGTATAAGTTCATGACATCTTAGGGCAACAATAGTCTATATGACATAGTATATTCTCCTAATATCTTTTCCTGAATTCAATACTATATTAATAAAATATCCTTCAAAAATATGCATGTTATTAAATATATTTGTTCAATGTTAATACAAATGAACAATAATTTATTTCCAAAACATGGTGTCAACAAACAAGGGAAAATATTAAGAATGGGCAGTAACTCAGAATAGTCATGGGGGGAAAATACACCTTCAAAAATGCAAAATGTAATATGAATGAAATGAATAGTAATGGGAAGGAGAGAAAATATTTAAGAGATCTGTTTAAACTCAGTTTCTCTTCCATTGTAATTTGCATCAGTTTATTTGCTTTCAAATTCTTATATTGAATAGTTTGCAAACTCTGTATTAAAGACTAAAACACAGCTAAACATCACTGACAACAAAAGGAGTGGGGCTGGTAATGCTAATATAATGCTGTTGAGGAAATGGATTTGACATTTTTAAATGGGATAAAATGCAAAATTCCCTCTCTGAATTTAGGCTTATTTGAGCTTAACGGAGGCTTGACATACTTCAGGGAATAAAAGGTGGGGGGGGGTGGCGGTTAGAACTAGTTTCATATATTTTGTAAAAAGAAAAATAAAGTAATACAAAAATTGAAGACGTAAATACCATTCTTTGTAATGCACCAGTGATTATTTCCTAAGTTGGATAAATAACTTTACACTGAACCCACTACAAGATGCTTTTTGACATAGTGTCAATTTTCAGTTTGTTTTCAAGTCTTAATTAGATTCATACTTTTCTATGCAATTTCTGTTAGAACAGTTGAGACGTTTCTAGGCTCTAACATGTTTGTTAGTAGAGTGCAATTAAGTCTATTGGTTATCTTTTGTTTTACTTGCAACAATGCTTTTATATCAGGTGATACCATATCAGTATGTGATCAACGATGATTTTCATTTCTGCACTTATTAACTAATATTTTGGGGAAATTTTCCATGTACATGATTGTTTCATTCTATTTTATATTTTTGCTATATGAGGAGGATTTTTAAAAGTTCTTTCCACTCAGTAGCTGAAAATATTAGATGGAGAAAGGATAAAGGAACTACTAATTGTGCTGGGAGGAGAGAGATGTATGGGACACTGAAATGATGGAAAGGCTGATGAAGACACACCAGTTTTCTGTCCTTTAGAGCGGGATGAATGTTGAATCCATTTTCTAACTAGGGGTCATCAGAGAGGAGACTGTTTTTGGAGGAAGCTCATGCGATCCATGTTTTATCCATTTTGTGCTTGATTTCCTTTAGAGACATCCGATAGCAACATCAAAGAGGCAATTTTTTGGCACAAATTCAGTACAGAGCTATTTGAACTTGAAGATCACTGGCATATATGTGGTGATCGGATTGTGGTTGAAATTGCCTAGAACAGAGAACATACGGAAGATGAGGATCTAGAAGGAAGCTGCAAGAGACCCTACATTTCACGGCCAATTGGAAGAGAAGAACTTGCAGAGCGGATAGAAAAGAAGCAGGGTAAGTCACACATGGGGAAACTGGGGAGACTGTGATGTCATAGAAACAGGAAAGGAGTGCCTCCTCCCATATTGTGAATCTTCCTATAAATAAAGAGTGGGCTTGGGAGCATACAAAGGATTGTGCACTGGGGCAGTTGTCTGATTCCAGCTTTCTCACAGTTTAGAGTTTGCTAGCTTCATACTAATTTTAACAGCTCTATGTAAAACCAGTACATCACTGTCACTTTCTTGCATTTTATTCATCCTAATGCATCAATGGTTTTAGTCTCCAACTATAAAGAGCCAGGATCCTATTTTAAAATACAATTTCCTTATATTCTATAAAAAATAATTACAGAGCAATCACCAGCAGGAATGGTTGAGTCCTTTCTAGTAAAGAATTACAAAGGAACTACAAAACTAAAAACTTTTACTGTGAATGTATCATTAATCTCAGTTCCATTTCCTTCTCCAAGGGGAGGCTTATTAGGGGAAGGGTTAATGACACTGACCTCAAACACCTGCAGTTATGTTCATTCTATCTATATCACTTGACCAGTAAAGAGTGTGAGTAATAATATCATGCCTTCATGGATTCTAGGCTTATTGGACCTTCAGTGCTATTTTGGCCTCATAAATGTTCTGTTACTAATATCTGCTAAGTGTTAAGGGATTTTATTCAGAGTCAGTGATGACATCTGAGAAACTGCTCATCACATGTGAATTCTCAGAACTCAGGTGACTATCTCATGATGGGAGATCGTTTCAGATATTGCATCAGGTAACAGAGAGAATAAAAGCGTACTTTTTAAAAGCCATCTGGTGTATTATTTCGAATTGTATTGTGAAGCCACTTGTATTGGAAAGTGTTGCCTTGAACTTCCCTTTTAAATGATATTACATTGAAATTGCTCTTCATTATTCACTCCCATCAGTTGCCATCCTCAGGGAATAGATTAACCCTAAAATGTGAATCTAATTCTTTCTTAACACTTTCTAAGCAAATGTTTAAATTCTATCAATGTTTAATTTATTTTTGAATTTTATTTACTTTTTTATACAGCAGGCTCTTGTCTATTTTATGCACATTAGTGTATACATGTCCATCACAAACTCCCAATTCATCCCACCTCCACCATGCCCCACCCCACCCTGACCTTTACCCCCTTGGTGTCCATACGTTTCTTCTCTACATCTGTGTCTCTATTTCTGCCCTGAAAACCACTTCATCTGTACCATTTTCCTAGATTCCACATATATGCGATAACATACGATATTTGTTTTTCTCCTTCTGATTTATTTCACTCTGTATGACAGTCTCTAGGTCCATCCATGTCTCTACAAATGACCCAATTTTGTTACTTTTTATGGCTGAGTAATATTCCATTCTATATATATGCCACATCTTCTTTATTCATTCGTCTGTTGATGGGCATTTAGGTTGCATCCATGACCTGGCTATTGTAAATAGAGCTGCAATGAACATTGGGGTGCATGTGTCCTTTTGAATTATGGTTATCACTGGGTATATGCCCAGGAATGGGATTCCTGGGTCATATGGTAGTTCTATTTTTAGTTTTATAAGGAACCTCCACACTGTTCTTCATAGTGGCTGTATCAATTTACATTCCCACCAACAGTGCAAGAGGGTTCCCTTTTCTCCACACCCTCTCCAGCATTTGTTGTTTATAGATTTTCTGATGAATCCCATTCTGACAGGTGTGAGGTGATACCTCATTGTAGTTTTGATTTGCATTTCTCTAATAATTAGTGATGTTGAGCAGCTTTTCATGTGCTTCTTGGCCATCTATATGTCTCCTTAGGAGAAATGTCTGTTTAGGTCTTCTGCCCATTTTTGGATTGGGTTGTTTGTTTCTTTAATATTGAGCTGCATGAGCTGTTTATATATTTTGGAGATTAATCCTTTGCCCATTGCTTCGTTTGCAAATATTTTCTCCCATTCTGAGGATTGTCTTTTTGTCTTGTTTGTAGTTTCCTTTCCTGTGCAAAAACTTTTAAGTTTCATTAGGTCCCATTTGTTTATTTTTGTTTTTATTTCCATTACTCTAGGAGTTGGATCAAAAAAGATCTTGCTGCGATTTATGTCAAAGAGTGTTCTGCCTAAGTTTTCCTCTATGACTTTTATAGTGTCTGGTCTTACATTTAGGTCTTTAATGCATTTTGAGTTTATTTTTGTATATGGTGTTAATTTCATTCTTTTACATGTAGCTGTTCAGTTTTCCCAGCACCACTTATTGAAGAGACTGTCTTTTCTCCATTGTATATCCTTGCCTCCTTTATCATAGACTAGGTGACCATAGGTGCATAGGTTTATCTCTGGGTTTTCTATCCTATTCCATTGATATATATTTCTGTTTTTGTGTCAGTACCATATTGTCTTGGTTACAGTAGCTTTGTAGGATAGTCTGAAGTCAGGGAATCTGACTATTTCAGCTTGGCCTTTTTCCCTCAAGATTGCTTTGGCTATTTGGGGTCTTTTGTGTCTCCATACAAATTTTAAGATGTTTTGTTCTAGTTCTGTAAAAAATACCATTGGTAATTTGATAGGGATTGCATTGAATCGGTAGATTGCTTTGGGTAGTAGAGTCATTTTCACAATATTGATACCTCCAATCCAAGAACATGGTATATCTCTCCATCTGTTTGTGTCATCTTTGATTTCTTTCATCAGTGTCTTATCGTTACCTGAGTACAGGTCTTTTACCACCTTAGGAAGGCTTATTCCTATGTATTTTATTTTTTTGTTGCAATGGTGAATGGGATTGTTTCCTTAATTTCTCTTTCTGATCTTTCATTGTTAGTGTATAGGAATGCGAGGGATTTCTGTGCATTAATTTTGTATCCTGCCTTTACCAAACTCATTGATTAGCTCTAGTAGTTTTCTGGTAGCGTCTTTAGGATTATCTGTGTAGAGTATCATGTCATCTGCAAATAGTGACAGTTTTACTTCTTCTTTTCCAATTTGTATTCCTTTTATTTTTTTTCTTCTCTGATTTCTGTGTCTAGGACTTCCAAAACTATGCTGAATAATTGTGGCAAGAGTGGATATCCTTGTCTAGTTCCTGATCTTAGAGGAAATACTTCAGTTTTTCACAATTGAGAATGATGTTTGCTGTGGGTTTGTCGTATATGGCCTTTATTATGTTGAGGTAGGTTCCTTCTATGCTCACTTTCTGGAGAGTTTTTATCATAAATGGGTGTTGAATTTTATCAAAAGCTTTTTTTGCATCTATTGAGATGATCATATGGTTTTTCTTCTTCAATTTGATAATATGGTGCATCACATTGATTTGCATATATTGAAGCATCCTTGCATCCCTGGGATAAATCCCACTTGATTATGGTGTATGATCTTTTTTTGTGATGTTAGATTCTGTTTGCTAGTATTTTGTTGAGGATTTTTGCATCTATATTTACCAGTGATATCCATCTGTAATTTTCTTTTTTTGTAGTATCTTTCTCTGGTTTTGGTATCAGGGTGATGGTAGCCTCGTAGAATGAGTTTGGGAGTGTTCATTCCTCTACAATTTTTTGGAACAGTTTGAGAAGGATTGGTGTTAACTATTCTCTAAATGTTTGATAGAATTCACCTCCATATGTTAGTGTTTTTCACGTTTTATTCCCCTGTCATTTATTGCTAGTCTAATAGTGCTCTGGTTGGAAAAGACGCTTGATATGATTTCAATTTTCTTAAATTTACCAAGGCTTGATTTGTGACCCAAGATGTGGTCTTCCTACAGAATGTTCCGTGTGCACTTGAGAAGAAAGTGTAATCTGCTGTTATTGGATGGAATGTCCTGTCAATATCAACTAAATCTATCTGGTCTATTGTGTCATTTAAAGCTTGTGTTTCCGAATTAATTTTCTGTCTGGATGATCTGTCCATTGGTGTAAGTGAGGTGTTAAAGTGCCCCACTATTTTTGTGTTACTGTTGATTTCCTCTTTTACAGCTGTTAGCAGTTGCCTTATGTATTGAGGTGCTCCTATGTTAGGTGCATATATATTTATAATTGTTATATCTTCTTCTTGGATTGATCCCTTGATTATTATGTAGTGTCCTTCCTTATCTCTTGTAGCATTTTTTATTTTAAACTCTATTTTATCTGATATTAGTATTGCTACTCCAGCTTTCTTTTGATTTCCATTTGCCTGGAATATCTTTTTCC